TCCACGGCAGTCAGTTCAACAAGAAGATAACACAGACAAATGCAAATCATTTGCTCCAATGACACTTGGTGGTACTGTAATGTCATCTCGAGACCTCAGTGTGATGCGCCGCGCGCGAAGTAGGCGGGGTGACCTACTTTCGACGGACACGCGCAACGGACGTTCTCCAGAAGTTCTCGGACCCAATGTACCCATGCCCACCGACCAAAGTGTTAAATATTGTTGTCGCTGTGAGAATGTACGCTATACTGAATAATCCTTTATTTATGAGAACAATACGCGTATGGCATAGTACATAGTGGAGATGTTGACGTAATTCATCTATATACACCATACTTTACAAATAAAAAAATAAATGAGTAGCGTTACAGTACTGTCGATGTGCAATGGTGTTATAAACGCGTGAGAAAGGCATGGACAGATATAGAACACTTCACGACTTGAAGTAGTTTAAACAAATAACTGTTACTATTAGTAGTTCCGCAAAAATCCATGATAACAACATCGAATCAGCCCAGCACTTGGACCTTCTCATAAGGTGTGTGGGCTGGATTTATCCATGATGCCATGAAAATTGGCAAGCTCATCGTTGATTCGGTCTCAAACAGCAGAATTCATCGCGTTCCGCTGATATGCAAACATACAGTAAATAGTGTGCAAGTACATACATTGCTTGATACAGTAGGACAAATTTCCACGAAATAGAAGCCTCTTGGCCTCTTGTTAAATAACGAATAATATGTGGCTTCCGATGGAGGACGACCCAAAAAGAAAAACTAACAAGATCAGTATTTGAGTAGGTACAGCCATGAACGACACGAACAAAAACGTTTTGTGGTTCTTCTGAAGAAAAAGAACCGAGAAGATCATGCATGTTACGAGGAAAAACAATAGAGGAGGAGGAGGTCTACCCTAACAGAAGGAACGAAGTGGATGACGATAAATTCGAATTCTTCAGCAACCATTCAGCAGTTCCTATCTTGATGTTGATCTGACTGGTTGGCTATCGCTATGAATCGTGGCCACAATATCTTCGAGTCGTTCTAGGGCTTTTTCTTCTTGTATAATCAATTTTCGCATAAACTCTCGATGCTCATTCTGTTTCTGTTCGATCAATTGTTCAATTCTGAAAAAACGTTGCTGTTGAAAATGGCAGTATAGAAAAATCAAAAGCTTGTGAAGTGTTTTTGTATTTCTACCAGAAAAAGGATTCACTCTGAGTTGAGGACATTTACAAGAAGATCTGGAGTGGGCACAATAAAATGCACGTTATAGCCATGAATATGGCAGAAGGTCCTCACATCTCGCACGAATATGTAGCTGATATTTGGCTCCTCACTTGCACGGTTGAAAGACAAAAATCTGGGAAACTCAAATTCACGCTCAGAATGGCGAAAAATATGGAGAAGAGACGAGAATCTTCTACGAATTGAGGGCCTCCGATGCCCATAACTTCGCCCTAACCACTGAAGTTCCCTAAGGAGCTATTCATGTTAAAAGGCAAAAATGATTTTTCAAGCCAGTCATTGCACAGAAACTGCGCTTCTTCTCGTTGTCTGATGGGGTTGGGTTGTTGAAGTTCCTTTTCTGGTATAAAAGAATGGTTCATTTCGATCATTTGTGAAATCTCGAAATTTCATGCTTCTCTGTGGACTCCAAAATCAGAATTTCAGTTTCAGTTGGGCAGTTCCTAAAAAGGTTCCATGGAAATGTTGAAGGATTAGGATATAGTCTCCAGTGTTGATGAGTTCTTCTCTGGGTTGCGCCCTGCATTGGACTTACATCCAGAAGCGTAGCGGCAATTTGATCGCGAGGGCGGCTTTACAATGAATTGCGGTGGCCAGCCGAAGTAAAAGTCATTGCCTTTAACCGCTAAATGAGGCTGGTAATCGATATTTTATCCATTTTTGTGATCTTGCTGGTATTTAAAAAGGTAGTGTGCTTTTCTAAAAAGAAACTGCAGCGTTGATCCGTATAGCTTGAGGTATTTTATATCCTCTCATTCATCTCGAAAATAGCCTAGATTCGAGCTTCATTTGCATAACGTGTGTTCTTAGACTACTTCCTTCATGTTGAGTGAAATACGATTTTTCTTAGTTGTTTTTATGCCAATACTTGCTTGCCCTTTTGCTTGTTCATTTCCTCACTGAACATAAACACTTGGGAAGAAACATTTGCAAGAATGCCCCTTCATTCACCTACGCTTCTCTGGGTCATGTTTTGAGAAAGAGAATAACATGATCGTCTCCTCGCACTCGTACCGTCCTCTTGCATCCTGTAGGGTTTGAAGAAATAGCCTAAAGTAGGATCCTATGATACCTCCCTCTGTCCCCATTCCCATGGCACATACTTGCCCTTCACAGCATTTATCACTGCCAGCCTTATACGACTCCCAGACACCACCCAAGAAGTTCAAGTGGTACACCATCAATTTCATGATGTCGATGCTATAGTAGTGGAAGAAAACGACGGGCTACTCTCAGCTCCAGAAAGTGACTACGTTGATTGAACTCTGCCTACAGCATAAGGATTTCCGGGAATACTTGCAAAGCAATCCACAACTGCGAGACACAACTATTCGGCTACCATAGAGGTTTTGTCATTTCCTCAGAGGTTAGAAGAACCCCTGTTCACGCTTCGTGGGATTTTGGGATTTAGAAGTCAATGTAGCGCAAATGTAAACAAATAAGGGTTCATAAACCGCTGCAGACCACATACATTTGGAGGAAAGGCGAAAAAAAGTGCCCTCTAAGACCCCATCTAAACTGACGAACTACCAAGGAGGTTCAGATGATCTAAAGCCCGATTGGCGCCAGTGGCGACCCAAAACCGGAGTGGACCGAGCTCACTTACCACGGTTTCTTTTCTATCCATTTTGCGGTCATTTTTAAACCTGATCCAAAATGCGGAGGTGGGAGAATTGATGGAACGAAGGCGAATGAATGATTGTGAGTGTGAATCCGACTGATTCATATATGTTTTAATATAAAGGCTCTTATTTATGGGGCTCGCCATATTCGATCAACCATGGTAAAGAGAAAGCCGGATTACCTGAACAGGATTATGCGCCAGGCACCACCCTTCCCGAGCGCCTACTGGAGATTATTTACGAAGGTGCAAGGGTTCAAGTTATTGCAACATTTTGGCTTGCAAGTCCCTGGATCACAAAACTTCCGGATCTCGGATGAGTGCATGGATTCTTGAAATTGACAAAAAAAGGCGACGGCTTTGCCATAACAAGGAAGATCGCTCTGACGCTCTCAACCTCAACATGAAACCAAAGGCGTGGGGAAGGAATAAAACTTTGTAAGTTTCGATTGCCATCCCCTATACTTGGTGAGAAGGCCATCCAGTTGGAAGCTACACATTGTGGGTCAATTCAGAGATTGCCTCTCCGAAGATTCCAACCCAGTCATAGTGGCTGAGGTGCGATGAAGGGATTTCGAATGTATGTCGGAATTGCTTCAAAGTTGAAATGGTCCAGTAGGGAGTCTTCCCCAGTGTGCTCAACTTTCCTGCTCTGGCAAAGGCGACAAGGCTCAGACGGTAGCCGAATAAACCTGCATTATGTTGATTGCAGTTCCGAGAGCCTTTTTCATACAATATAATTCATTTCTACTCTAATGAGCAAAAAATTGAATCCACCCAAGTTCTAAGTAGAATTCTGATCGATCCATTTCCAGGGCTTAGCGAAGAAAGGCACGGCATGTAGAACTGATATAAAACCTCTTCTGAAGTCATTTAAAGGCACAGTTCACGATAAAAATGATTTCTGAGACTTCCCTATAGTATGAATTCGAGGCTCCCATTATACCCTGCCTGCCGTTATGAGGTCGCAAACGTCATGGATAGGGCACAGCAAGGGGCTAGAGATTGAAAGTTTCGTGGACGAGTTCCAACGGTTTTGTAGAGGCTGCCCTATCTTGAGGGACTCCCATGTAGGAAGTTCAAACATTTTGTCATAACCCATTGCGACAGTGAAAGGCATGTCTGGACAATTGTGGTTCGATGAAGTCAGCTCGTTGCCTGATGGAAGCGAGTTGAATCTCGTCCAAAAACCCCTTACATGCCATTCCTGTCACTGTGATCTCGTTCAACCTCAATTCCACTACTTTTAAAAAACCCTTGAAGTAGGCGGATTTTTTNTGAAAGATGCACCCATCGTGGACGAGTTCCAACGGTTTTGTAGAGGCTGCCCTATCTTGAGGGACTCCCATGTAGGAAGTTCAAACATTTTGTCATAACCCATTGCGACAGTGAAAGGCATGTCTGGACAATTGTGGTTCGATGAAGTCAGCTCGTTGCCTGATGGAAGCGAGTTGAATCTCGTCCAAAAACCCCTTACATGCCATTCCTGTCACTGTGATCTCGTTCAACCTCAATTCCACTACTTTTAAAAAACCCTTGAAGTAGGCGGATTTTTTTCACTTTCTTCACTACCGATGTACTCCTCTACATCAACACTTCCACTTTTCTGCCTAAAAGGGGTAGCTCAAAATTATCGCGATTTGTGCCTTTGAAGCAGATGGTTGAGTGGATCTAATTTGACATGAGTGTCATTGCCATGTGGAAAAAAGTAAAGCGAAGCCCTCGTTTTTCCCACAAGCGTCGGGATGAACAGATAATTGGAAGCTTTGTAATCCCAATCATGCGATATTCGTCGATCCAATTACTCTGACGCAGAATTGCCATCAAACAGATGTAATTTGCAAGTTTTCAGAGAGGAATTAGTAAACATTGAAGACCACTCGGAATGCATAGGAAGGCAACAGTGGTTATTTCCAGGAAACGTCATCGGCTTCCCTTCAACAATGCGAAAAATCTTTTTACATTTGACAAGAGGCCTTACCCGACAGAGAAACGCTTTCTCTCATTGTTAAACACTTGCTTGCTGGTTTCATTCACTTCACGCATTTTCTTTTCGCGTTCTTCTCGTGTCCGAATCGATTGGTCCTGGAAAACAATGAAGGATTCATAGAAGAATGAAAGATAAAGTTTTTGGCGTCAGTCAAACTCGTCTGGGAGATGCGCCCTCCAATCGACTTCCATTCAAAATCGTAGCGGCATTTGAAAGCGCATGTGGCCTATACATTGATTTGGTTGGCTAGACGAGTCAGTGTTTTTACCTTGCCAGTCGGGTCTAGGACCAAATAACCAACTTCTTAGGAAAGGAAGGCTTTGTTGACTTTGATCGAATCCCGGATCGGCTTATGGCCATTTGAGTCCTTCAAACCCGTCTGGGAAAGTAAAGAGGGTGTGTGATGAAGCGCCACTTGCCACTACACCACCTCCACCCTTAAAGACAATGGATATAGACATAGCGTTAGTGCAATGAACAGTGGACAAAGAATGCTCTTCTCTAGATATTTAAGACCGCATTTGGGAGTTTTCCAGAAGGACTCAGTCTAGGGCCATGAATATTTCATGAGCCTGGAAACTTACCATGGAAAGACGACGAAATTTCGTGACAGCCATATCCGTCTGTGCTTGTTCAAGATCTTTTAGCCGCCTTTCAAGTCTATGACGCATCGACTCCATTTCGACTTTATGTGCCTCTTCTGCTCGTTTCCTAAGAATACATATCTAAGGACCATGAAGACTGCAGACGTGAAGATGTCAACATACCGTCGGTGCTCAAACTCCTGGCGGATGTGATTACGGCAACGTTCCAGCTCGATCTCAGCTTTACGTTTTGCACTTTCATATCGGCGTTCATTCTCGGCCATTTTGAATATCCACTCAGGTATCTGAAAAATGGAAAATAAAGAAATTCATTGATGGAGAACGAAAAGAGCAAAACGTGTGACCGATATACTGTTGGAGATTAGGAACAGAAAGAGATGGGAGGAGCCTGATTACTGTAGGAATGGTGTCAGGGAAGAGGTTAGAAAAAGGATAACGATGGGACATCAGAACATTAAAGTTGCAAGTGCGTTTGCAGCCCTTGATGGCGATGGGCAATGGGCTTGGGAACCGAGGCAGAACTAGAGAGGACAGGAGTGGATCAGAAAGGGAATCAAAGGAAAGGACGAATGGTTCGTTCGCCTTTGCCACCAGATAGCAGAGGATCTGTCTCTCTATTACTAAAGTGGGCACCAGAGCCGTGCGACTGAGTGGCTCACTTCTTTTGGGTATAGCCCTGCTCATCTACCCAGGGGTCGTTCTATGATCATAGTATAGACATAAGAACGTTACAGAAAACAGCAAACACATATTTTAGGTAGCACCGCTAGCCGACAGTGTTACAAGAGGGACCGATTCTTGGCTAAGTAGATTAAAGGCGCTCTGGGAAAGCCGTGTCGCCGCACTGGAAGGCAACCATCACCAAAGTGCAGATGGGTGTGCCTTATCGTAACGTTATCATAATGGAAATGTTCGAATCGCTTCTGAGAGCAACGCGAGGACATGGATCAGAAGGAAGTACAAAGGTGTCATTTCTGAAGAGGACAACATGGGCATAATGCAGCGTACGTGGGATGCCGAGAAGACGCACTCTTCTATTTTTCCTGGAAAATGTCTATACCCGAAGATGACCTTTATGATTAATGTGTTCATAGCGCCAGCGAAATGGAATCCAGAGCAATCTGCCCAACAAGCTAGCCCTCCATTAATCTCGACAACTATCTAGCTGTCTACGGTAGCTGCCTTCAGTATTTTTGACCATGTCAACATGACTGTTCAAAACTTCACCGGCCAGCCCATCAGCAAAACTTCCTCTGCCACCAGAGCCGGGAAACATACAACTTGGGACGCCTACAGCATCGAGAAAAGCTCGATTCCCTCCTGATGGCTGCTGTTGCTTCTGACGCAAGTGATTCTGAATCATTGACGGTTTTTCTTAGAAGATGAGGGTTCATAACCATGTTAAGTAGTTAAATTCACAGGCTTTGAGGAAAGCTTTTCTGCAGGATTATCATTGTTGTTCCCGTGTTCCTGAAGAACCAGTGAAATCACCTGGGAGAATCACCCACATTGCCTTGAGTATAAGCATGATAAATCGGAGAGATGACGTGATGAACAACTTTGCAACATTCAGCGGAAAGGAGACGGGAAAAAGCAAACGGCTAGGATAGCATTCGAGGAAATCCAAGGGGAAACGAATAAGACAAAGGGCACGCAAAGTCGGACCCTCCCCCTTGACTACGACTTTTAATATACATATATGGGAACTGAGTTAGAGGTAGCCCCTGCATATCGAATATGTCCATAAGTGGCACTTGTCACTTGGCATTACGAAACGAATTGCTTGTCTTATGGCCTCGGCAACACGGCCCATTTCATTTTCATAAATGGGATTTCATGCATAATTTCAAACTTGGGCTTTGTACCTTTCCTGCAAAGCCTGACTAGGAAAGGTCGTAAAGTGAAGCAAGAAAAGTCGACATCCGGTTCCCATTCAGATGTGATATGCTACTGAAGCAATCAGCTTGTGATAGGGAGAATGGGGTAAAAGGAGAGTTTAATGAAGGACTCAGGTGGTGCTGGTGGGGGTATGGGAAGCAATCATTGACTCATTTCTGCATAGTAGCAGCAAAGGCACAGCGAAATGAGTGTGTCCAAATCAGTGTTGACAGCTCACTTATAGCTATAGTCACCCAGGAGGCAGTTCCAAAGGCTGTGGGGATGAATGAGGTAGATGACGCAGCGAAGATAACTAAATACATCTCAAACCTGGGTTTCTTCCGAGTTTCAATAACCTATTCAGGGCAGAACGAGAAGAGTATGTGGGGAGGGGAAGTGGAGATTCGGAACCTTACAAAAGGGAAGAGGTAGGTGTGGAGGACGAAAATACGACTATCACTAATGAGGCGTGAAGATGAAAATTCTTGAGTGACCGCCGGGAGACAGACAGACACGCCGGGCCCTTATGTGCAGTACACCAATAGCGAAACTTATTCGGCAGGGAAGTAAAGTATTTCTTTATTTTGTTGGGAGGAGGGATATCCATCAACAACCAAGTACATGCACATCAAATTTATGGCTTCTCAGAATTTCCGCTTACAATTTATTAACGTATGTCAGGCCCATCTTCAGCAAAAGGATTTTTCTGAACTGCCCATGCATTTGAAATAACACATTAATTCATCGTTAATGATGTTATTTCTTTCATCAGCTCCCATATGGGCGGTTCTAGTCGAACTTAGACCATTCATTTGTTTCGCAGCCTCCAGGAATCCTCTGGAATGTAAACTCGAACTCAGGTAAGGTGATTAACAGAAGACTGGGACTCTACTTTTCGAGCTTTCTGGCTTAGTAGTCCTCTTCAATCTCTTTAAAAAGGTAGATTGCTTCCCGAATACTCTAAAACACCAGAAAGCCTGCGGTAAGTCTCACCCAGGCCTTTTCTGCATGGGAGAGCACTTTTGTCTTTTCAACAAATCTTTAAGTAGTGAGTAGTAAGTTGAACTCACATTGGCAGCCTGGAGGGACAGCTCGGTGTTGTCTGACATGGCGTCCTCGCTTTTACTCTGAAATGGATAACCTTAACAGTTGTTCGAAAGGTGTCAGGTAATAGAAACAAGTAGGTGTTGAGACGAACACTTGGACTGACGTTAGAGGATTCAATTTCATGAGAGGTGTCCTCAGAAAATCTGTTCTAGACTTTCTGGCTGCGAATTATCACTGATTATTCTTGCTTACTGACAAGGATCACAATAAGAAACAAATTCATCAGGACCGATATTTCACAGAAGTGGAGAGTGCCAGCTACCATACTAAGGAATAGAAAAAAGGTATATTTCTATTGACAGATTAATCAAACCTCAAATCCTTGGGGAGTTGCTGAACTGCTCTCATTCTTATTAGTCAAAAAAGGATTTCAACCAGTACCGCCAAGCTTTCCAAGTTCACCAAGGTGAATAAAAATTAAAAAGTCAAGCGAAATCATCTTAATAAGCTTTCAAATTTCCGAACTACCGATTGAATCAGGAGCTTGAGGTCGGAAAGGACCTCTTACCATTTTACCTGCCCCATCTCCCGCCAAACATGTCTTTTGAAGGACTAGGGGACAGTGAGAGAATTACTGAAAAGCAATCCTCGATATGCCCAATCGAATATTATGACCCTTCTTCGCCATGTACTTAACCAGGACTATGATTGTCTGAAAGTACTGCAACATCGATCTATTAGTACATATGGCCATTTATAAATGACGAACAACTTCGGTTGACTCACTGAAGGCCGAATGGAAGACCAGTAGGTTCTTACTCTGTTTCTGCCCTCAAAAGCATTGTTTTCAATGGGAATTGGAGGAAATATGAATGTTAACACATTTGCTGTCCCAAGAGGGTGATAGGAACTCTCAATAACAATGGTCAAAAGGCGGGTTCAATTGGAAATCGTCTTCAGGAATTTCAAGGAAATCATCAGAGCAGTAGTAAAACTGCAGTGGTTATTTACTATTATTTATTGATTGTCGCATCTTCCTTGAACAATTCTTCTAATGTAAAAAACTGATTTGTAAGCAATCTGCACAGCCAGGAAAGAGCCAGCACTGATTTATGTCTTCAAGGGAAGTTTTTCAGATATTAGGTCCGCTCACAAATGAACCTCTTCAGAATTCCGAAATACCCCAGGTTTTTCGGAATATTCTGGAAGCATCCATGGAATTGCTTCATAACACCGTGACCCATATGTATGTGCATAATATATCCACCTTCTTTCTCCTTGCTCATTCAACCCTATGATGGCAGAACTGTCTTCTATATTCGACACACACCCCTGTACGAGTTCGAATCAGACGGCTCCACTGCTGAGGCCTATCAAAACCTACGTCGGCATTCCGTCTCAAGAACCTATTCCAGCAGTTCCGTTCACACCTCGTCCCAAAACTTCAAAAACGGAAACAAGATGTGGAGTGAGTAGAGTTATAATATTATAGAAGCTTCCAGAACCTTTTAGCAACTTAGACTTTCGTGAAATTTCGAGCTTATGCTTTGTGAGCACCCTAGTAACTCAACCCCTTAATTACAATTTCGCCCCGAGGTAAAAATGAGAAACTAACATACGGTCACGGTGACGGACGGTGACTCTGAAAGCACTGCCTTCACCTTCATGAAAAAAGTGGAAGTGACAGCTAGCCTCAGCTTGAGCCGAACTTGTCATTTGCATCCGTCACTTAATCAGAGCTATACTAAGAAAGCAAGGCTCATTGAAGTTGAATAGTCAGAAGCAGACGTGGGATAAAAAACTTCTGAAGTAGGTGAAATCATCATTCCT